ACACACACACACACACACACACACACACACACACACACACACACACACACACACACACACACACTGTAACCAACACAGTTTCTATTATTCCAAAAAGAAACACTCTGTTGGTTCAGTAGCGTTGGCAACAGCAGAATGTCCATCATAAGCTTCCATAATCCTTCAATACCTAAACCACATGTAATTTATCTAATTTTATTCAGTAACACTGGATGTCGGAGGAAGATTTAGAGTCAAAGCTTCAGTTCTTGCTGCGCTTTTGTGAACTGGAGTTCCTCCAGCATCTTACTTAAAAGTAGACCGACTTTCCTGACTCGTACACAGAGAAAGTTAATGCTATGTTTATGGAAGCCCCCCCCTCCCGCTATAAATAACGCTGCCACTACTTTAAACGTTTTCCCAATTAGAGAAGGACAGCAATATACTGTGTGTGTGTAATGAGCCGTCAATGCCTCACAGAAATGTACAGAGGCTGGCAGACAGGTGGACTGTGACTAGACAGGTAAAAAACAGAGACACGTAAACAGAACACGAGAGAGAGAAAGATGGGTGGACTGAATCCAAAGCCAACAGACAGGCAGGTTGACAGTTAAGACAGACAAACCAGACCAACAGGCAGGCAGGTTTAAATAAGTCAAAGAGACTCCTTAGTTAACAAGGCATGTTTGGCAGTGTGGCAAACATTTATTTCAGGTTTGGCCTACATTCAGCATGTGAGGTGAAAAGTTTAATATTTCCATTTCCCACTCTAGGTATTTTTATTGGACTTCTTGGAAATGCTCAAGTGAGAAAACTGAATAACCTGATATTTAATATGGTAGAAAGTTGCAGCCTTAATAAGAAATGAGTCTATTTAAAAACCACAATTATACACCTGCCTTTTGGCCAGTTTACCCTCATGGTAGTGGATGTTTAGGCCTCTTGGCATCCGTCTTTGGTCCAGTGAGCTGGTCGGACACTGATCCGCAGCCATGTAAAAGAGAACTGTTCAGGGAAATGTTTCTTCTGTTTCAATTAGGCTTTGCTTTAAATAGCGCAGGTTTCTGGTGATCCCAGGCCTCGCCTTTGGCTCTTCTGCAGGGCTTATCACCCAGGGATGTTAAAGCTGGACCCTTGAAATGTAAGCACACATCAGCACATTAATCTCCAGACTGACCAGGCATGTATCCCTTAACGTACATGTTCAAAAGCACCTACTCTTTGAAAATGTTATATTGAGGTCAAGCTCTGTCCACTCAAATGTACCTGGCTTCAATAATGACTTGTAATGTATATGTGTAACATCCACCACATCATATAGCATTAAAATGGTTTAAATTTTAAAAAGTACTAGAGTTTAACCCCCTGGCTTGAGTTGTTTATGCATTTTTTTCCTAATATATCAAATACATTCATATATTAATTCACACTATTACAATTAAATCTAACTGAAAAAAAGAATCCCAAAATGAATAATTCTCTTAATAATTAATTCAATCTATGGTGGTAGTGAGGGTGCACAGGCCCAAATGTCAATCTTAAGCGCAACAGATTTCAAATGAAAGGAACAGACATGAGAGAGAGAACTACAGCTGCGGCTGAAACGATGAGGTCTGACTGTCTGCTTGGACGGTAAAAATGTTCTGGACAATAGCACAAGCAAGCACACTATAGCACTGCCAATAGCACTGTACACAGCTAAACAATGCAGTAATGGAGCAGAACACCAACTTAGAGATCTCATGTTATTATGAGAAGTATACAAATTATTTTTGCTTCATAAAGAAACGGTGGCAAGAAAAATATGACGGGCCCCTGCAGTCTGGATAATTATGTGAAACACTGTAGATGACACTGCACGTTCTAGCCTATTAAGTACAAATCACATATACGTCCCACTGACGCATTTCTAGAGTAAAATATGGTTGTAGGAACCAACTGGATCCATCACATTTAATATTAAGCAGTGTTTTCTCAAAGGTACACCATTAGCATGAAGTTAAGCAGATGGAAGCAGGAAATGTGCTTTGTCATGTGATTCTGACCTTCTCCATGTTGGCTTATTGATTTTCTTTCAGATTTTCTTTCCTTAATTGAATAGACATATCTGTAGGTTATGGAATAAAAATGACCCACGTGGACAATTTAAAAATAGCAACGTATTTCAGGGAACGTCAGATGAATGTAATAAAAACCATCAGGGCAGAACCCCTTCGCCAGAGTGTCGTGTGATTTGCTGTGAAGTCTCACCCGGGAAGGCGCTGCGTGGCGCTGCAATGGAGTTATGATTTACGGTTATTAGGGCGGGGCCCCTTTTGCGTTTGAAGTTCATCAGCTAACGTTCTCCCTCATGCAAAAGCAAATCACAATAATTAATCCAGATGCAGTCACCTCGCTGCTTGGTACGGCCGCAGCACCCCAGAGCCGCTCCTTTCTAGTGCGGTGACACCGTCAGGATAATTGCACTGTCAAGGTCAGAGATTTAGGTTTCAGTACACTGTTCAAGTGGAAGGAATCAAATCAAAGGGCTCTGACAGGGTCTAATCCCTGCACTGGAATGGCTTTGATTTTGTCAGGGCGCAATTAACACAGATGCGTGTGTGTTTGGTCAATATATCAGTCACCGAGAGTCACCGTGACACGTATGAGCACTTTGAAAGTCAACGCTACATGGGACGCCTGAGCCCTTTTCCCATGTTCTATCACGCACAGCTGAGGCAGACTTCACTATTTACATGTGTGATGTTGAGCGGCCGCGATTAGAGTTAGTTAGCCGAAGCCTACTTCTCTCCCTCTTGCACAACCACCTGATCCTGAAATATAATAAACACACAGTTCGGCCGCAACTAGTCAGCAAGTCTGAGGCGCCTAATGAGGGGACGCTCCGAGAGTCGAGGCTGATGTTAATTTGTTTTGTTTTTGTTGTAAATTGTGTGTCTGTAAATAATGTGTAAATGACGAGATGTCCTGGCATGCCAGCAGGCCGGGGCCACACACATGGACTGACACAGTAACACCCACACACAGACATTCTCATTACAAGCAGGTCCTTTCAGCGGCCTGAGTGATCGCAGTGCCAAGGTCTTTGTTTAGAATGCATTCATAGTTTGGTCATTACGTGCGAGCCCAATTTTGGAGGTTTAAAAAAACCCTTTTGTTTTTAGCTCTTAAAAATGTTTTAGGGGACGACTTTTGTTTTATCTCGAGTCGAGTTTTACAGCCACAATGACAGAGAATATCGACTCAGTCAGAGGCGTCTGTCAGATTGTTTTTCAGAAATTCACTCCCCCCACATTTTTTTAAGTGTCAGAATTTCATTCTTTCTTTGTAAATAATCAAGTTGTCTAACCCTTGAACTACAATGGCTGGCTTTTCAGTCGAGCTTGACTTATAAGTATCATCCGATATGATCCTTTCACACCCATTAGTGTCAGTTTAGGTTTGCTTATATGCGATGCAAAAAAAATGGTTGATTCTGAAACACAAGTTTTTGGGTGAAGTCCCCTTCACGTCCTTATTGCCATCAGAAAACCTGCTGCCTGTAGCTCTTGCAGGACTGTAATTAACACACTTGGACCAAATGAAATTATGGACTGGCACACATTGACCAGACTTCTCACAAGCTGGAGACGATAATCAGACGTCAGTGAGTGAGTCTCGGGAAAGTCGTCTTCCAGCAGTTGTCAGGCAGTGCATGCTCATGTGGGCAAAGCTTTGATGATAGTAATTCATTCTTTGTTTGATATCTTAGGAATCATAGAAACCATGAAAAAGCATCGGCATTGACTCCCACACATCAATATCAGTCGTGTTCTACTTTTCACTCCACCTTCTAGTGTGGCAGTTCAAAACTGGTTTAAACACGTTTGCCCTCTGACGTGGTCGCACAACACCTCACACGCTCAACTCCTTTTCAAGCATAAGTGTGCCTTCGCAGCCGATGCTGTCATATTAGTGGTTTCATGTTATTGCTTGTTAATTGTGTTTCTTGCATCACATTTGTCAAACTGTAAATCAACCTAACTATGTCAAATTTGCAGAGTGGTCCATTCATTGTACAGTAGCTGGTCAGAGAAGGCGAGATACACACCTCTATACACACAAACCTCTATATACAAAACTAGAGCTTCTCAAAGACCCTGAAATCCCCTAAAAATAGAGACTTTGTGCTGCATATGTAAACATCCACATGCACACACACGTTTGCCCACATGCGGTACTCATACACGAGCAGACAGAAATGTACACACTTCACGGCCGCAAGGGCAGCCCGCTTATGGCCTCTAATGCAAACATGAGTTAATATTAGCTGTCTATAAAATGGCAGGTCATATTTTTAAAATACCAAGCAGGGTCATGAACTGCTGCCTAAAAGACCATCACAGTTGTTAATCCGAGCTGCCCGGCTCCAAAAATACCCCAGGGCCTAACTTAAGACCTGGAGAGGTGTCTGCGGGGTATTTTTGGGTCAGTGTTTACAGGTGTTTGCTCAGCGGCAGCAATGCCAAGAGGTTAATAGGATACCCACTTTAAGAAGTTCAAATAGACTGAAGTCCGCGTGTTGTTGAATTTGTGGTTATTTTGACCCAAGGATGGCTGGTTGGGAGGCTTCACACAGCAGAAAAACAACTTTAAAGTCAGCTGAGTAGAAATGAGCTGTTCGACTGCATGTTAGAAAATGTGGTGACATAGATCTTCAACTCTTTGCCCATTTTTACAAAATATATGGAAAAGGAAAAGAACTTGAGTAGATTTTGAATACAGTTATTTTTCTTATGATTAACAATTAATAACCATTTGCTGTTCCTCCCTTGCTTGTTGATGTTGACTGTGGCTCTATGTGGGTTAAGAAGTGCTCTGTGCTATATCTGACTTCTCAGAACCGAGGCTTCATCTTCCTTTCCTTCTGTCATCCTCCTGTCCTTGCTTCATCCTTCCTCTCTTGGTCCCTCTCATCTTCCCCGTCCTTCCTTTGGAGTTTTTCCACGAACCTCCATTTGTCTTCTCTTCTTCCTCTGCAGGTTCTTCTCTTGTGTCCATCTCCTGCTGAAACTGATCCAACTGGGCAAATTGTGCGAAAGAGCAGAGAAACACAAAACATGGCCGTGGCCGGGTGTCCGGATTATTTCCTGCATCATCCAAATTATCAGGTAAATGGTTCTTTTCTGTATTTTTCTTAACAAGTTAAAATCATTCTTAAGACATAATTTATAAACCACTCACACAACTCAAATAGTGTTTGCAGAGATTGAATGACACATTTCAGATGTTGCCAAGACCAGTGTGAAAAACCTAACTGTGATATCAGTATGAATTGCTATATCTTTGTTGAATAGAAACTGACATTTGTGTCCTCGTGAAATTACCTTAAATTCGGTCACACACTTGCCAAATATGTAGAATAAATAAATGGATGAAATTGTGAAACTTTGCCCCTTTACAAACCAAACACATAATCATTTGTGTTTTAATGAAAAACTAACAATAAACCATCCAAGAGGGCACTGAGCAGTTACATCCAAAAGGTATGATGAGTTTGTCCTGTTAGGCCCTAACAGTGTCACTGAATGGCAGCAGTTCAGGGACTGGTAATAGTGCTGGATGACATGTATCAATAATAATACTGAAATTACTTTTTGCATTTGTATTGAAAGGTGCTATTTAAATAAAGGCTTTCATGGATAAGGTAAAATTTTGCAGTGAACAAATCTACTAAACCTTAAAATCTGAAGTACACAAGTCAGGTCTTGCTTGCACACAGTAAATCAGCATGTATTTGTATATGTATGTAGATAAGTGTGTTTGTAAATATACACATACATGCTGATTTACTGTCGTGCATTATGCAAGCAAGACCTGACTTGACTTGTGTACATCAGGCTTTAGGTTTAGCAGATTTTTTCACTGCAGCCTCCACAATGCACACAGTGCAAAGGGCTTCCAAACATTTGCATTAGGCCAGTAGCACTATTAGCCTGATCAGGAGCTGGCCTGTTGTATGCTCGTCATCTGGGTCATGGCTTTATCTATGACCTTTGACCCAAGCGGACAGAGAGTTCAGCTCACCAGTCTCACAGATCACCACAGCTTAGAGAAACAAGCTTTCATGAAACCGAGGATTTGCATGTGGCGCTGGGTGTGTATGTGTACACCGATGAGCCACAAGATTAAAACCAGTTACTATTGCACTTGCATATTGGTGGCATGTTTTGAAAGAGCTAGTGCTGAACCATCAGTAATATGTTCTACTGTTTGAATGAACCCTGTCCCTGAGCGGTAGAAGTGTGCTTGTGCATATTTGTGGTATAGTTGAGTCACAGTTATGCATATTGTTTCTGCTGCAAAGATTAATCCACCTATGTCGTCAAAAATGACATGATTTTTTATGAAGCTTACATTTAATAACAGAACAATTTGAGAAACTAACCCAACAAAAACACAACCACAGGGAATCGGCCTTGAGTTGAGGCTGAGGTGATAAAGCCCCTTTGGCTCAGAGAATCATTGTATGCTGTGAAATGTCCCAAAACACAGCAATGAATACCAGGTTCCTCTTTCCATATGTGCACGTTGCATCCACCCTGGTATAGCTCCCATTCTCTCAAACGCACCGAAGCCTCTCACAGCTTAACGTTTTAACGTCTTGTCTGTTAGAAGATTTTCACTGAAAATCAGCTGAGGATTCTTTTTTTTTTAGATAGTTCCATTTTTAGAGGCTGTTTAGGTTTAAAATCTGAATGGAGAGAGGAGGAGGAGGAGTTTTCCATATTTGCCAGCAGCTTGGATGAGCGCTGCTGAAGCTACAGTGTACACACCTTAATGTACACTCTCAGGTTTACACACGCAGCGGTACACATGCACAGACGCACACCCAGCCGGCTGTTTGCAAAGCGTTCAGATGAACAGATGTACCTTGACTCGCTATCCGTTCACTCTGAAATTCCAGGGTTATGGTAGATTTTTCTCCAGAAAAACTGCAGCAGGAAATCAAAACAGATTCAAGTGAAGATAACATTCATATTAAAGTCTGGGAAAGTATACTGCCACATTAATCATCTGATTGAGACTGATTAATACATGATCTGGTCTATGGAAAGCCAGGCAAATCTGATGAGATAAAAAACCTTTGTTAGTAGCAGGATAACTGATAGAAAAACAATCATATTTTTTGGCATAATTTTTGCCGTGTGGTTAGCTGAGGCTAAATATGAAAACAATTGTGTAGTGTTTCCCATAACCAGTAAACTCAGGTGTCGCAAGATTACATTTCCTGGAACTTTTGTAATGTGATTCATATCATTGCATTTCCAAGAGAAACATTTCATGGAAGTCATTCATCACTTTGAAGGTTTGTACTGGGGCTTACTCATGTCAGCTTGGACTCCATGTCATCATTTTCAGTACATCGGCAGAAATATATACTTGTTATCGATCATTTCGTCTCCAGATGTCCTGTCAGTAAGTACGGCTGCTTATCACCACGCGTTTAGAACTCCACTGAGCTCACACAGAGCTGATCCAGTGTCAGGGGAAATAGCTTAATGAACACTTTTCCAACTAACAAGGGTTAATCTTAAACTCTTGTCAAAGGATTAGTTTGAATTAGAACAATTTAGACCAATAAAGGATATGAAAAACCCTCTGAGGAGTAATCCCATGTTCTGAACAATATGCAATAACCAGGCTTTTCCTCAGCTGTGCTGTGACAGCAGCTCCAGCCCCAGCTGTTGGAGTGTTCACAGTCCAAACAAACAGACAAACAAAGCAGCAGAGCAGACATTAGTGTTGACCCCCTGATCTCGTTCTGCAGAATTATGTAAGAAGGGATTTCCACTGGCTCTCCAGTCTTCATGTATGATCCAGCAGAACTATAACAACATGGCTGTCAGCTGGAATGTGTCTGCCAGGAGCAAATCTTGGACCTTCGAGTGAGATTTCCACATTTGTGAAGCTTTCGGAGGATAGTCAGCTTAATGTAAAACTAAACCGTAATGGAAACTGAAATGTTTTGCTGTTAAACGTGAATAATTTTTATGGATGGGATACGTTCTCAGCTGTTCCTCCACAGCCAGAAGTCTCTCAGCACTTTAAGCATTGATTCATATTCACTCTGCGGTCATAACATTTAACCTCGGTCTGACCCCTCTAAAGGCGTAACTTCGACATGCGTCTCAGTCTTTCCCCTCTTGTTTAAGGTGGAACCTCCAGACCTTTGTGTCTGTGCTGCTTTCAATGCCTTAACCTTGTCTCTGCACCTCAACTGACCCTTCTTTAAAAAAACTGAACTCTCAACCCCTTGACTCTCATTCTGGGTTTCTTTCAACTTCATCAATATGAAAGGGCCCCTATATGCTCCTTGTCAAAATGTGGCCTACCCTCAGTCCTGCTTTGACCCCTCTTAAAGAACCTCAGCAACTCGTGTGTCTGTGTGTGTGTGCGCTTGTGACTAAAAGAATGAGCGTGAGAGACGCATAGAAGCAGGATGAGGAGATGCAAGGGGAAGGGTGAAAGAAACAGAACATGTGTGCGTAATTTTTTCTCTACTTCAGCAGACATATCTTATTTTCTTTCTCCTCTTTGTCGTCCCAACATCATAGGCTTCAGTAAACCTACAACCACATGCAGTGTTAGACATCGACACGGCCCGATTATTATGCTAAGTGGCCGGTATCTATAGGATTAAAACCCCAAGTTAACATTCTGTCACTTGTCTGCAGAGGCATCAAAGGGCGTCTGGGTTTTTGGACTTTTTGTCGCTCTGATCGACAAAAGGGATAAAGGTGTGCTTTTGAGTTCCTTGTGTGTGTTGAGTTAACTCATTTACTCCCAGACAGCCATGCTAAACAGCATTCAAGACCAGTATATGGTGTGAAAAAGTCTCCGGGTTTTTGCTCAGTGGAGCTGAACCATGACCATCCTGTCCTGAATACACACACACACACACACACACACACACACACACACACAAACGTTGTGCTATACGATCCCACCAGCCATCGTCCCGTTGCTGTTTGGGTGACTGGGTAGGGATCAGTCACAGTCTGGTAGCTGTACCCCCAGACGGTGTGTGTGTGTTGATGATGACGAGGTTTTCTATGTCACAGGAACAAATGGCATACTTACGTTATAACTTTTTTTTTTTTTTTTTTTTAATTCAAAAGCAGGTTAGCCCCATTAACAACCCAAATCTGCTTTTCGATCCAGCCATGATGTCTGGGGTTCCCAGACAATACAAAGAACGGAACAATGCAATGTAATGATTGGATGCGGTTGGGTTAGTTGGTATAGAAGAGGGGATGGGGGGGGTGGCAGCAGTGGCGGCAGTGGCGGCGAACAGAACCATATACTGACAATGTACATCCAGGCACCAGTATAGACTCTGGAGAGGAACACTAATGAGCTCTTTTTCGCTGAACATAAAAGCTCCAAAAAAGTTTCGAAGAGTGGAATCGTGGATTTTAGGTTTCCAAAATATTCAGCCGGGCCCTTATTTTGAAGAATGGAGACATCGGAGTGGAATTCTACATTGAGCTTCCTTCTCACAGTGAGTCACTTCTCTTTGAAGCACTCATTACGACTTGTTAGTAATGGTGCTGTAAATGTCACAGGGGCTGTAAGAAAGTCAGTTAATATTTGATTTCTGCAGAAAAAAATTGGATTTACATTGAAAAAAGGCTCATTAAAGAATGTGGCTGCATCGACACAAACTGAGTTTAATATGTATTTAAAACTTTACAAAGCGGAAAGTAAGTGTAACTTACAATGCCCCTGGTTTGTTTTATTATATTGGATAAAAACTATTGTGTGAGATTGAAATATGTAGAGGAAATGTCCTTTTCCTGAGGAGAAACCAGGTTTTCAAACAGTGATGAAAAAGGTAAACAGTGATTAAAAATTCACAAAGAGGCTGCCAACTTAAACATTAAATAAGTTAAAGTCAAGAAAATATATGAGACCAAAATACTTCATGACAGGTACAAGGATCATCGTCGTTTTATCATTGTCGTCTCTGGAGGCCACGCAGATAACTCGCACTGATGCAAAAGCATCTATCAGAGAAAATGACGGAGGAAAAACAACAAAAACCTTGTGTGCAGTTTTGCCTGCGTTGTCAGTCACTGCTCGACAGGTAAATGAGGCAGAACAAGCAGCCGCAGCAGCTTTTATAACAGCATCAGAGGAGGAGGTCTGCTGTGTCAGAGAGACGCAGAGTCAGTGGCAAAGTTTTTCTCTCTCAATACAGTAGTCTGTCCCAAGTACGTTCTGTTCCCTCTCCTGCTGTTAAGCCCTGCACGGCACGCACGCATGCGCACACACACATGCACACACACATGCACACACACACACTGGACAGCAATGGATAAGTTGTCCTTGTAAGCGCTAGAAACAAATCTAAATCAAATATGTTTATAACCATATAAAAATTTTTTTTTTTTTTTTGCTGTGGTTTTCCTCACTGAGGAGTTTTGCTGTGACTGGAATGTGTTGAGAATGTGTAACAAAGGTCAGACCAGGACGCTGTGGTTAAATAGTCCCCCGTGCAGTCATACACACCTGACCACGCTCATACACATGGCACGTAGCAGTGATTTCAGAAGTTATCTTAGTTCAGCTTTATCCAAATGTGTCATACTTGATATACTAATATAAGAATTCCATTTACTTTTTGTCTTTCTGATCGTAGTTTAGTTTAGTTGTTGCTTTAACTGTGTTGTAGATAAACAAGATTCAGCAATATTGTGAACAGAGCTGCCTCTCTTGTCAACTGCTCTATTGTGTGTTGTCTTTTTTAACAACTGTGTGTACATCTTTATGTCCACAAGGTCGAGGCCCAAGTCCACCAACAGTTTCCAGTAGACACAAAGAGCCCTCTGTACTGTTTTATGTTTGGATGTAAAATTTTGTTGGGCTTGTATCTACCACCACTATTCCCACGCTGTAATGCTATTTAATAGATTGCCTGATGCTGCATTATGGTTCTTTGTAGTCATCTTCACATGAACTAAAATAGTTTCTTATTTAAAATTTAGCAGTTGAAACTATAAAATGTTGGGTATTTTCTTTTTGTGTGTTTGGCTTCTGTGACAAAATTCTCAGTCAATTTTCTTTTTTGTTTCTCTCTCCCTCAGCAGGACAATATAGACCGGTCCTCCAATCATAGACAAGCGGACCTCATCGGTCCGAGCTTCCAGCAATCAGTCAATCGGAGCTCTCCTAACCACCAAGGTTGGTTTTCAATGTCCATTAGGTGTGTGTGTGTGCGTGTGTGTGTGTGTGTGTGTGTGTGTGTTAATTTGCTGATGCTTGTACATTACACCTATCAAATATTCTTGAGTTACATCGGTGTTGTGTGACACAGAACAGTGTCCTTGGTTGTACTCTGACATCAAATTACATATAATTTTACATATCTGGTGGACATGGAAGTAACATAAGCTTGCTGCATGTTCACAATTTTTTTTTTTTATTGTTTCATTATTATAAGATCATTCAAAAAAGACCAAAGAAATTACCTGGGAAACTGATGTGTGTGTGTGTGTGTGTGTGTGTGTGTGTGTGTGTGTGTGTGTGTGTCTCAGTAAAGTACAGAGAGCTGCTTGCCACTCATTATCCTCCGCTGTGCTGGGGGGGGGGGTCAGGAGAGATAATATATATTTGGGTCTCTTCCGCTGTAAACATTTCAGCAGTTCAAAGAGCAGTCTGGATGGACGCAGGGTGCCATTATAATTACGCCGTCTATCTAATTGTGCCATGCAGGGTTCATCCATGACAATCGGAGCATGAGATTTAAGCACAATATTGGCCCAGCATGGGAGGTAAGGGCGGGGAGCATGCGAGGGCTCAACGAGTGAATTAGAACGCTTGGCACTGGCATGGGAAATAAATGGAGCATAAATTACATTGTCATTTTTCAGGATCGCTCAGGATGGAGGGAACAGAGGAGGACGAGCAGGGCAGATGAATGGAGATGACTAAGACACGTTTTGTAATAAATAATTCTAATGATTTCGGATGTAAACCCAAGTCTTTTTTTGTGTGCAAAAGATGATTCCTGACTTGTGTTGGCAGCTTGACTGATGAGCACTAGTACTGCAGATTTTAGTCAGAGCTCCTCCTCCTCTGTCTCACTCCTTTTTTTACATTTATGAAATAATGGTGATAAATAATGACCAGCTTCCACTTTTAAGTTCTCTTACTGCTGAAACTTGCCTCATGACAGTTCTGAGTTCAGGCCCATTACCTCTGTTGTTAACAATACCCTAATCCTCAGTGACGTTTTTATACGTGTTTTCCAGGAAACCCGCTCTTTTCTTCTTGTAGGACTTAAATACTTACTGCGTTTTACTGCAAAGCCGCAACAATCATGAACCTGAATTAATGCTGCATGGAACAGTGCAGCTTCATGGTAATATGACCTGATATTATTTTCATATGTTTGGAATGAGATACCATTGAGAGGCGTGGACAAGACTGTCTGGACTGATGCTCAAGCTGCAGGAATTACACACAAAGGGCGGATATTGGGTGCAAAATTCTGAAGCTTTACTCGTTTATCTATCATTTCTATTGAACAAGTTTCATTTGGTGAAAACTACCATGAAATGTGGTTGAAAGTAAAATACCACCTTTTTTACTTGGAGTAGAGCACAAATCATATCAATGATGTATACATTCATTGTCTGTTATATTCATCCATCCATATACATACAGATTAAGGAAGTCAGTAGAAGTGAAGAAGCAGCGATCATTTAATTTTGAGCTGTGGGACGTCCGTGTCCAGACATCGTCCTGAGGAAAGAGACAGTGCTGGAAAAAAAGAGCTGCTCAGATGTGGTTTGTTTCTTAAATGTGAGGAATCAATCATGGATTGTTTCAAAAACTGTGACAAATGCAAATGACTGTACAATGGTTTTGTAGTTATTTCATATTCCCGTATTAGACTGTCACGTAGTGTTAAGATACTTTAGACCTCTGACCAGTGCAGCAGCGATGGTGTTGCGACCTGTGTCCAACCAGTGATGTCACAGTGCAGTAATCTGAAAGCGTGGCTTTCTTACATTTATATGCATAATCCCACTACATCCATGCCTGTTCTATTATCTTGTCTATATATATATATATTGATTTTCTTACATGCAAAATTATGACTGTGGGTGTAATATAAAGTATACAGCTGAAGTATAAAATTTGTAGGATTTTGCAGAGAAAATCAAAAAAAGAATTATACAGTATATATTTCTTTATTCTTAATTTAAACTCAACAAGACTAAAAGTGTGAGTGTGTTAACATTTGCCAGTTCATCCAAATGATTTGTTTATACTACCTCGTTCTGACTACCTCCTGCTGAAACAAGTGAATATCTAGGCATGGCATCAATATAGTTTATCACATATACCTGAAATGTTTTTCCATTGAGAAGAGTTAAAACACACAAAAAACCCAGAGGAAAGATTTCGATCTTAAACCTTGAATCAAATAATAATGTGACATTAATTATGACAATTATTGACACCGACTGATATAGAAATCTTATTTTATTGTCCAGCTGTACTTAACATAAAAATCTAATTTGTACCTGACGATGGCACGAAACAAAAAGTCAAGTGACCCATTAAATAACAATTCATCCTGAAGGTGTCATGAAGATCTGTACAAGACTTGTACGTCAGTGTGTGTCAAAAGGTTTCTTCTAAAGATATGAATTGTTTGAAGTAATATTTTAACTTCCCATGAAGCTGCGTGGAGTAAAATACCCGTCACATTGTCTTTATCCCTTTCCAGGGTTCCCCCTAAATGAGGGCCTGTGTTTCTGTCCCTCCTTCCCCTTCTGTTCACCTCTGATTTCCCTCCCTCGCTCCCTAGTTCCCTCCCTAGTTCCCTCCCTCCCTCCCTCGCTCCTCCTGTTTTCCTCTGATCCTCCCACACTCTCCCATCCCATCAGGAGGCTTGGCCCTCAGTGGGTGTGTGTGCTGTCATCAGAGGTATTGTACTCTGCAGTGCAGAGCCACGCTTTACAGTTTAGACTTGCTCTGTCTATGCTCCCACTGATCCCTTTGAATGGAAACCCCTCTGCTGGGCTTGTGTTCAGAGACTGTTTATCCCCCTCCTGTGTGTGTGTGTGTGTGTGTGTGTGTGTGTGTGTGTGTGTGTGTGTGTGTGTGTGTGTGTGTGTGTGTGTGATGCACTGTATACATATACCCCTACATTCCCCTGCCCCTCCTTTTTGTTTTTAACTCGCAGGAATGAATACAAAATGCATAGAATACATTCCAGGATTAAGCGGAGCCATATGGATCTGCCATCATCACAATGGTCTTGTTTTGGCCCATGTCTCACTCGCTAATGACCCGAAATATTCAAGACAGCTTTTATGCAGATTCTTAGCAGACACGACTAGCTTTACAGTTGGTTAATACTGTATTTAGCGTTGGCTTAGACAATAGACAAAGCTTGGGCTATTTTTACCCCTAATTTCACCGGTTAGAGATCCCTAGAAAGAGCGAGAGAGGGGGAGAAAAAGAGGAGTAAATGAACTCAAGCAATGGGAGACGTGAAACAATGAGGAAGTGAGAACAATAATGTCAGTGTTATCCGTTTTACCTATCAGGGTTTTAAATGTAGTTCTGACTTCTACAGTTGAGTTCAAGCCAAATATCTAATAAAAAGGTACAGATGGATGATTGTAAATCAAAGGTTTTCATTCTTACATTTTGAACCTAAGCTGAAACACACATTGAGTTCCTAAATAACCCACGTCTTGGTTCATCGGACCTGTATTGAAAAACATGGGGTAAACTTTACCCTAAACATTTATGTAGACTAATTAATAATTATTAAGCTAGTTTTCAAATGAGTCCCTAATAAAGGTGTTGTTGAGACTATTATTGTCAATTAAACAATAAACCACTTCCATATGGCCCCACGTTCTTGAAATGTTTCAGGATAATTATTCATTTGATTTGTTACTGGGATTTCTATACCTGGACTTTGTGTATCGACCAAAACTGAGTATGTATCAGATTCCAGTGCATGTAAAAAAGAACATGTAACATCTTTATGGAGGTGATGATTACTGTAATTGTTTTATGGCATGGCTCAGGCTAAACCCTTTGAAAAATGGACCTACAAAGAATGACACCATAGAACTTTTTTGATTATCTGGTTTGAGTCATGACTGAAAAGAACACAAATCGTTTTGATCGTTTAATCGTTTAAACTCCTCGAGCTCTTTCGTGTGATGGTTTTTTAAATGCTTGATGAGATTGTTATTGTTGTGATTGGCAACACTAGTGACACACCTTTAAACTCTTGCATATGGTCCACTGACGTTTTTACTCGAGGGACTTTCCAGCACGCACTGACTAACACTACACCATCTTAAATCCCTTCTTCTTCACCACCCTAAAAACAGTAGATGCCAGTGGCAGAATAGCACAACTGCTGTTTTTGATTGGCAAAGAAGAAATGATTTCCAGGGGGGGATTGCACTTTTACCTGGCACTAATATACTTAATATATAGTATATTAGTAATCACTAAGACATGGCAAATAGATT